ACAACCACAACCACAACCACAACCACAACCACAACCACAACCACAACCACAACCACAACCACAACACTGCTCCAAATTCTGATTCCCATACAGCTCTTCTTTTTCCTATACCGCACTTCATCCAAAACCACCCAGCCCCCACCGGAGCGTCTCCGGCCCCGGCCTGTCTCATCCATGCAGTCCGCGGAGTCCTCCGGAGCTCCGGACGGGATCCGGACGGGGTCCGGCCAGCAGGCTGGAGATGGGATGAAAGCCTATATGACTTGCCAAGATGCCACGATGAGGGAGATGATTTCGGAAGTCGGACACATGCTCCACCTTTTTTTCTGGTGCTCATCTCCTTCGTGGGTTCGTGCCATGTCCATGTGCCGGTCTCCCGGCAAGCTCATCTCCTTGGGGACCCATGGAGACCAAGTGGCGGTGCGTCTGAGCGATCGAGCGTCCGAGCGTCCGAGACCCTTCGGACCGGATATGCCATAATCACGACATGACACACGGGCACCGGAAGTCTGCACTCGCAATGCTTTTGGAGGTGAGACGACCCGAAGACCCGAAGACATCACAGCGGTTCACTGCAGCGACCATCAGGGGAGGCCCTCCGGCCCATCCACCACTTCCAGGAGCCGTGAAACCCATCCCGCCGTCCTCGGCCACCTCGGGGGGTTCATCCAAGCGAGCGGAGGTCAACCTGCGGATCGGACGAGCTGGCGCAAGCAATCCCCAAGCGGTGAGGACCAGATACTTAAGTCTTAATAGATCTTCATAGGCTACATATAGAAATTCAACTGGTGTGAAGGGCCTGCAGTGGCGACCGCATTTCAGCCGTTCTTGCCAACCAAAAGCTCGACAAGAAAGCATGCCTTCGGTTTGTCCAAGTTACAGAAAACACATCTCGAAAGTGCGGCCATTGCAGAACGGTTTATGCACAGTTCGTCGCACGACCAGGGCACGAAACCTATATGCAAACACGACGGTTCACCTGGTGCAGCCTATGCCTATGCCATTGGGCAACAAAAATGCGAAAAGGACATGGACAGTTAGTGGTCCCCAAATAAATGACCGTGGCACGGTTTCCTACGCAAGGATTTACGAACTTCTATCTATGACAGGGGGTCAAAGTCAATGAGCTGGTATTATCTGAAACCAACCTCCACTCCAATCCAAATAGACCATAATATAACTTGATCCTTTTTCCAACCGCCCCAAAATATCAATATTTAGGCCCGGCCTTATAGATGTTTTTCCAAGTGTCTTCCATGTTCTTGGGGGCAATGACTCTGTCACATTCTGTAGTTTGGGGAGGCTCGTGGTCGAATGGCTCCGGGACCCTGAGCTTGGATGACCTGGGGTCTTTCTCATCACAGATCCAGATGTCACAGGATGTCTATCACAGCCCCGACATAGTTCCTTCAAAAGGTTTCACAACACGACAGCACCGAAAAAGACCGACCAAAAGCCCCCCCCCCCCCCCAAAAAAAAAGGCAACTCAAAGAAATCTCCCAACCGCTTTCACCCATTCCTTGCAAACGTGCTGAGTTCTTCCCAGTTCCCTACATCGAAGACGGTGCAAGCAGCTCAGCCTGAGGCTCGCTTCCAGTGAGAAGGGCTTGGCACTCAGTCGGCTTGTAAGCGCATGGCCCAAACTTTGGCCTCAGGTTTCCAGACCCGGCACTCCGCGAATAAACTAAGATGACCCACCCCAATGTGGGGCGCAAACCCGTTAGTATTTTGTTACCCTTTTATCCAAGAACAACCAAACAGTTGTCCGAAACAAAGTTATATTTTACAAAAATGTGTTTTGGATTGCTTTGGAGTGTTTTAATGATGGAAAACTCGGTTTCTCGTGTTCAGAACCAAACCTGGTTTTTGTGGCACAAAAGGAGTATTTTTTTCAAAACTTCACATGTTTCTAGGTTTCGGAGTGGTTTTGGTTTCCTGGTTTTTGGCGGGTTAGGAAGGTAGAACTACCTGCTGAGCATGTGGACTTTGTTCTGAAATGTTCACCATTTCCTCCAAACATCGAGGGTATGGGCTGGCATGGAATTGCGACATTTGATTGTTGATTTCCTGTCGCAGAACCAGTTGTTAGCACATCTTGTGACAGTTCTTGCACACCTCCTAGGAGGCTTCTTTCTATTCTTGCGCACCTCCTTTTGCACAATTTGCTGTGTGCTTCCTTCTGGCATGTAAGTCAATTCGTGACGTCTCGGAAAATACATGTGCGGCAGCATTTATTTGGTATACTAACTCTAATACACTGCTAATCTATTATGTGGGGGCCCTATCTCGTTTAGACTACTTTAGTCATCAAGCAAAAGGTATCTCGTTTATGTGGGGGCCCTATCTCGTTCACAAGCAAATACTGATAATTATAGACAAGCAACTAGAGCATGCCGTAGACTACTTTAAATAATGCCTAAATAAAAGTGGTTGCTCACATGAACATAGCGAAACATATCGAAACATTCTGTAGCATCGCTTCCACTTAAATTCCTTTCATCTCCATGCCTTCAATGTGATTCTCCGCCGAGTCCATGTTCATTCCTTCGAGAAGGGTCGGCAGCTTTGGTCGCTGTCAATGCGCACGGCATCCTCCTTAGACTGTCCGTAAAACTCGGATGCCTCGATGATGGGATCGGCCCCCTCTTTGTCTCGACGCTGCACGGCTCGGAAGGCACATCGCCGGCGGCGGTGTCCACGCCAAGTCCACCAAAACCTGCCTGGTGGTGTTGACCCCCTGTTGCACCTGTTGCGCGCCTGTTGTGCACCTGTTGCGGCTGGCAGCATCAAAATTGACCCTCAGATTTCGAGTCGGCATGCCGCTGGGGTGTGGAGGTTTGGGCCTGAGCCTATGCCGCTCTGGTGGCATCGAACAGTATGGCGGGGTGTGCAGGCTCCGGTCTTCCAATCGACACCAACTCGAAAGGACACTGCCAACCTGCGAGGAAGACGAGAGGCCACCTGAAAAACCTGATCTCGTCGAACATGCAAAGTCCGATTGCCATAGTACATCCAACGGTGCTTGCTGGGATCGACGGTACCATGCATCAAGTCACGGTCATGAAGCCTGCAGAAGGTGCGGTGAAAACAACCCGCCACCTGTGCGTTTGCTGCTGCGCTTGGCAGCAGCCTTCATTGCAAGGAGTTCTTCTTGAGACCAATATGCTTTCGCGCGATCAATCATCATCCTGGATGGGGGACGTGATACCCGCGCCGCAGTCACGCTGGCACTAGGCTATAGGCCCATGCCACGGCGTCACGATCGGTAAAGGCCATGCCGGCCACGCGACGCCTTGAAATTGGCCATGCAATTCATATGCAAAGCATATGGCAACGATATGGCATGATTGTCATATATCAATTAGGTCTTTGAGGAATCGCAGCAAGTACTTTGCAAGCTAGTAAAAAAATGCAAAAAGTGGCCGTTACCGTCAAGAATCTGTTCCGTACAGGATCCCTCATTGCAGCTTGTCGGACCTGTTAGGACGACAGAAAGAATGACACCATACAATTCATTACGTCCTCGTCACTGCTTCAAATTGAGGAGTCTCTGAGTGACCGCCATGTGGAATCCACTCTTGAGGCAATTTGCCGCAGCTTCCGATGCGATACTTAGTAGCCGCACACGATCCAAGGACCTCCAACCCATGAGCAACACCAAGGTCCCGTGCTGCACAGTGCGATCTCTTTCACGACAACAACACCGATATTCATATAGGCACCCTCTTCTACTCAAGCACGCAACTGACACGTGAACCGACTGACACGTCGTCGTCGTCCTAATTTCATGGTGACATGTCTACCCCCCAACAAACGCACCCGACCACCGCCGAACAACCAGAGTTCACGCACCAGAAATGTGTCGACCCATTGGTCCATCCATCCATCCGGTCTCAATCCCCCGACGACCGTGGTCCATCGACGCCCGACGCCCGCCCGACGAACGCGACGACGACCTTCCGCCGCGGCGCTCACCAACTCTTTGGTGGCTCGAGTGGCGCCGCCCAACGCCCGGTTATCACGACCTCGGCCGCGAACCGAGAGGGGTTCGGCCGCTCACGGCGAGGGTGGTCGTGGGTTGGAAAAGCAGTTGGAAGGATCCGGGCCATGCGGCGGAAGGATCCGGTGTGCTGCTGGGGTTCTGGTGGGAACGCATGGGCTATAGGATAGATCAAGAGATTTCAAATTAAGGGATACGGCCTCAATATGTCTGGATGATTCCCGTGCGATGTGTTGGGATCGCAAGGATGAAGGACCAATGACAAATAGAAACACTTCATTAAACGCGTTCATTTATCAACATGCCGTCCCGCTTGTCCTTCTTTGATTGGCCTGCTGAATCGTTCATTCATCAACATATGTTTCGATTCAGTGTGCCTTCTTCGATGAACCTCCAAACAGACTGACTTGCCCAAATGTGCATGGTTACCCTACCAAATGCCAATTCACCCGGCTGACCCATTGGAATGCAGGAAACTGACAGTTTCATGGTCATTTCCGGATGCCTACATTTATACGCCCAACATGCACGCTTAGCAAAAGAAGTGTCGGAAGTTAAATCACATGATGCAATGATGCAAACACAGTTATGTATATTGTACGATACAAGACCAATCGAACTATGATGTGCCGTGCTTAAAGCTTATAGTTTAGTATAGATTCTACACACCAAGTGAATGCTATGCCATTAAGTATGTGATCCTCTAAGACTCTTCGGCAGTAAAACCGTGGGCCCCGACCTGCTGGGCGAGCTTAGCTTGGGCAGGGCGAGCTTAGCTTAGCTGGATGTGGTCGACACCGGCAGGTCTGGATCTTGATGTGTTTTGCTTCGCTGTTTGGGAGGTCGACCTTCGAAGTGGTTGCCCGAAGTGGTTGCCCAAAGCCCGCTTTGGATGGGTGTGGTAGCTGACCACTTTTTGACACTTGTCCACGGTTGTCCACGGATCAAGCACCGTCTGCGAAAAAGCTGCAGAAGGCAGCTGTAGGATCAAACACACCGAATCTCTGTGTACACAGTTGTCCATGTTGTCCTGAACTGGATTTAACATGATTGAACATGTATTACACATGATGTGCTCCAGAAGTCGAAAGGCTCGGCTATTCCCTTCTCGGGGCTCCATGAATCGGACTCCGCCGCCTCTTCCCAGCCCTCAAAGAATGGGAGCTCCGAGCAAAGCTTCACTTGAACTTTCAGGCATTGCTCCGGCTCCTCGCGCTTTTGCTCCGCGGAAACGGCCCGCGGAGCCGGGGGCGTTTTCGGCGGAAAGACCGTGGACCTCTTCGGAATCCGGCGGACTCGGGCCCGGGAGGAAGCTGGGGCAGCGTCGGCCCGGACCAGTCGACCCGGGAGATGATAGAGCTTCTGGATGAAGAATCAAATAAGAGCTAGATCGCTTTATGTTCGCTGGAACCAAAGGGCTTCAAAACTGAAATGCTTGTCTAACGCTTCCCACCACATGGTCCATTGGTGAAGGCCTTTTCATCCAAAGGAAAGGAGTCTATCTGAAGGTTGGCCATTTTGTTGGGAGCGAAGAGTGTTGGAGGCACCGCGTGAGGGTCAAACGTTATATAAAACAAACCAAGTACATCACACTGTTTCTCTAAGCTAGCAGCTTCCCTAACAATGCCCCAAGGGATTGACCAAATTGTCCACAATTGAGATGCTTTCCACTATACGTTGCTTCTGGGACGGCGCTTCGTATCTCACCTTTTGCTTCTAAAGTAGATCCAAGATGATCCAACCCAGACACGCCATATACATCCATATACATGCAATATTTGCCTACTTATAGTGTTTTCTTTTGGGGTCAATGTACGCATATGTTCCAGTCGCATGGAGTGTCTGGGCAAGTACAACATTCCAAAACCATAGGTGAATACGCTGTGACACGTTGCTGTGCACTCCTGCTCTCTTACACTGGTCGACCTGCCCACTTGTGGGCAGCCAAAAACTCACCATCACCCTGATCCCTCTCGAGAGGGACCCACCTCAGGGTGATGAAAGACCCCCACCTCGGTCCGATCGGGCGGTGTCCTGGAAGCCAACCAGGTGTTGCCAGATCTGAGTACCACCTCTGCGCCGGCCCTCCGAAAGGCCACCGGTGTGTGGAGAAGTAGTTCGGACAGGGGCTTGACCTCTTATTGCGGTGGTTTGAAACGAAGAGCTTAGCCAAGAAAGGTGAAGCAAGGGATGTAACAAATGATGAAATGCCTTCTTGAGCCTTTTTCTTGTTCCTTGCTGGAAAATGCTTTATCCATGTAGCACAACATGGATAATAATATATATACCCGCCCTTCAGAACTTCACGCGGGGATTTCGCCCGGCCTTCGCAGGGCAGTTCCGTTCCAAAGACTTGAAATAGTTATTATCCTGTTTGGAATCTTATCCACCTTATCATATCCACCTGTCACAACAAAGAAGCTGCTTCATTCACCCTGCTTCCAAACTTCAGGGCACCCTGCGCTACTGAAAATCAACATTTGTTGAGGGAAATTAGGACCTCCACCCTGTGACGAAAGTGATCCAGCAAAACGCAGAAGATCCAAAAATCCACGGGTCGTCAACGGAAGGGATCAACATACCTAATCATTCTCTTCACACGTCACATGGTGTTTGAAGCTGAGAGGGCTTGAAAGGGCTAAGGGCTTTAGGGGCGGTTGAAGGGTTTACTTGTGGATGTTTCATCTTTGCGAACATAATGATGAAACAAATTCCCCGGCGTTGTTTTGGTGGCCCACTCTTTTTGCTGGAACAGCTGCTTCAGAGCTGGAAAATGGAAAGGAATCTGCACACCTAACCTACCCTCAACGGTGATGAATTTGATGTAGTTCCAGTAGCTTTGGCCATCCAAGCAAGGTCAAGTACATGTTTCATCTTTCTGGGCTCTCTTTCATCCTCTCTCCTCGTCCTTGGCACCTCTGCGCTCCAACCAAGTTATTGTACTTGTTCATTGTGCTGCATACCCTGCAGTATGAAACATCCTTTTAGCACAGCCCTCAAACACCCGGCTGGTCATGAAGAGATTCATGTCCATTCCCTACTTTTCAATGACCTCGCTGTTGTTCGGAACAAAACAAAAAAAAACGTTGGAAATGGGTCGTGTATATGGTCACGTGAACTTGGCGTGACACCGCAATGACTATTCCAAACACTCTATGGGACTGCCATATATGCCGATCAGTTGGGATGGTTTGGGGGTCAATGTAGGCATATATGGCATATACATCGAGTGTCGGGGTATTCCAATGAAGAATCATTGGTATTTTATTGAATTTTGCTGATAGGTTTTCAAGTGTCCTCCGCATCTCCTGGGGCACCGACTCGTGAGGATCAGCAGCTTCTGGGAGGCCATGCTCTTTTCCACTCCGGGACCAGTAGGCAGGATTTTTTTTTAGAAGACTCGTGGGTCTTTAGGTCCCCCAGGTGATTTCACACATCCTGAATATAAAATGGATCCAGCGGGTCTTTTCCCACACTGCAACCAAGCACGATACTGCCTACTATCATCCACCACATGCCAGTAACCACACCCCAGTAGTGTTCACGTGGTAGGGTATATTTCCACTTGTCCTATAGGAGGGTCAATCCTCCTATGCAACGTTCTGTTTCTCGTAGACTTCTAACGTCACAGCTCGCCAGAGAGCATGTTGGAACTTGCCGGTCGAAGTAGAAAATATAGAGTTCTGGACAGTCATGGTCTTCTCCACGAGGAACTGAGGCCACCCATCAGAGGCTCCGAGCGCATGTCCTCCATGCTTAAAGGACCCTCGGGACACTTGGCAAGGCATACCGCCTTCGAGGCAATCGTTGACGGGCCTGTCCTTCTGCTACATGCAACTTTGGACTGCTCGTTTGGGGCCATGCACTTGCAACCACACACTTAGAGAGATGCTCGCAAGAGCTGAGTCAGTGAATGAATGAAGTTCCACTTTACTGCAGGTAGACCTTTACACGCAAGTAGACCTTGACTCGATGCAACGGTATGAAGTGAAGGGTCCGCTCATTTGAAGGTTTCAACATGATGCACTAGCACTTTAATGCATTAAAAATTGCAGGTACGTTCCCAAGGCGTCCCTCGGGAATGTCACAGTCTCGAACCACCGTCTTCGTTGGGCAGTGGATGGTGAGAGACTCACTGCCCCCCTGTTGCGCTTCGAATGGTGCAAAAGAAACCTAAGACTCAAAACCTTGGACACAGGAGTGGACACACACACACACATTGACACAAGGACCCGTAACTTTAGTCTTGATAGTGTATGTCACCTTTAACTTAATATTGGATCCCAGCGGCGCTGTGAAGCAGGACCGGACCAGAAGGCGTTTCTCGCTGCGTCAGTGGCCACTCCCACTCGAAGGGTGTGTCTTTTTCCGCGGGGTTGACCTTTAGGAAAAGATATAGCTTATCTAATTAAGGGGAATAGCTAAACCGGCCAAGGCACTCCCGCCGTAGACCACGCAGGTGGCGTTGGCGCTCCAGGTGGTGGCGTTCCTGCTCCAGCTGCTGCTGGCGCTCGAGCAGCAGGCGTTCCTGCTCGAGCTGGCGTTCTTGTGGCTGCTTTCTGCGGCGGCATAGCACGGTGCCCATATTGGCAAAACCAAAGGCACTCTAGATCTTGTTTGTCTGGTGGTATTTGGTGACACTGGAGGTCCTGACTTCCAATACCACTGGCAGCATGTCAAAGAGGTAGCCACCGGTGCACTGGTCCCGCTGTATGCGTTTGTTCGCATCCTAAGCTTCTCCAAGACTTATGCCACTGTACGGTCGTCGATGTGACCGTTGCACACCGCAGTCTGTGTGCACCGTGGTCCATCAACCTTGCCATCTGTGTGCAACGTGCCTTCCGGAGCGGTCGAGTAGGACGGCCTCCACTCTGGGAGACTCCGGTCCAAAGCGGTGCAGACCGTCCAAAGCGCTGCACCTGCCACGAAATCTGCAAGTCCGATAACATGTGCAGGGCACCACAACGAGAGCACGGTCGAGAAACAGAGCAGTTTTTGGAGCCAGGTTTTCATCGTCTCGCTTCCTTCCAAACGACATCTAGAGGCAATGCATGCATGGTCGATGGATCCAATTGGCCAAACGCAAAAAGCGAGCACCGCGACCTAGAACCATGCCTCCTGAAGCCCCATGTGAGCAGCTTCGAAAACCCCTATTACTTTTTTGTATAATCCAGGTTTGCTTTCGCAAAGCTTTCGCGGAGCTTTCGCGGCCTGCATTCTGGCTTTCGCGGAAGGTGTGGTGTTATGTGGGGCTTTCGCGGCGATTCGTTTTCGATTGGCAAATTCGATTGGGATATTGTACAATAAAGTGATTGATCTATATAAGTTATCCGATATAAGTGTCCTTAGGGTGGTCAAAACTGAACAAATTTCTTTCCGGCAACATCCTGGCACAAGGAGTTGTAGCAGCACCGTTCAAGTATTATTGTTGTCATCAGAAGAGGAGGAAAACTTGCTGAAACTTTTTGCTGGGGCCAGATACCTTTCCCGGATATTTTCGACTTTCGCGAGGCTTTCGCGCGGGTTTCGCGGAAATTCGTCTGGGCTTTTCGATTTTCCCCTGAAACACTTGCTCTTCAGCGCTGCTGCTGCTGCTGGCTGGTGTGCTGCGGCTGGCTGGCTGGCTGGCTGGCCTGCTGCGGCTGCCTGCATAAAAATATGGTCACCCACATAAACAACACGACATGCGCAAGAAATTCGACTTTCGCGAAAGCTTTCGCGACGCTGTTCTTCTGGGGTTCTTTCGCGGGGCTTTCGCGAACCTTTCGCGACCTGCGTTTTGGCTTTCGCGAAAGAATGTGAGATTACAGTTTGCACACTTTCCATCATAGAGGTTTTTGAAGCTGCTCATGTGTTGACCACACTCTTTGGAGGCTGAGGAAACATGAGGAAACAAGATACACCAACCCAACTTTGATGTGAACTCCGAATTGCCTGAAAGTAGACCACCCTCAGGTCCCACACGATTTCACTCACTCCCACCCCCGAGTCGAGTCGAGTCACCCTGCTAACCCGCCTCCCCACCGAGCCAGGTCCGCAATTGTCCGAAGAGTCCCGTAGGGTCCGAAGGGTCAGAGCGAAGACCAAGCATCAGTGGCTCAACACCAAGCGTGGTCGGTCCGATGGTCGGTCCTGACATGGTGGCAAAAAAACCTCAGGTGCGGCGCGGAGCCCGACGCATCGGCGGTCATTGAGACAACGACAGGGTCGCATCGCGGGACGCATCGCGGGGGGGGTGGGGTTGCTAGAAGCGATGTCGCATCAACGAAATCAAAGTGATTATCACTTATTATGATCTATTATATAGATCGATACAAACAGATACACTCCTAACATGTTGAAGTTTGAAGGAACATGGTCCATGGCAAAGACATGTAAAGACTACAGGCCGTTGTTTTACATGTATCATGATTACAGTCAATGACGCACTGGCCTTCCAATGAAACCGACTTTCGTTCCTTGAGGATGGCACGAGCCGGATAGCAACCCAGCTGAAAGCGGGCCATGCTCAGTATTTGTTACACTCAGCTCAGAAACAAACATGACCCTGACATACCAGAGCAACCCATATGGCAATACATACAGATCAAGATCTTCCTTCCCTCCTGTCACATGGCAAATGTCTCAGATGTGCCCTGTGTGATGATGAGGCCACAACGGGTATGTTCAGGCCTTGACATGAGAACGAGGTTGCCCCTTGTCCATTCAATTCTATCTGCGCTGAGCCATCTGGCGATGGTTTCATATCTTCGACGTCCTCATATTGGATCATGAGTCCGTCCCTACATGTGAGCCCTGATCTGAAATTACCTGTCACTGCACTAGACATCACATCTTCTTTCATGCAAGAGGTATGTAAGTCCACTACCTCACTGATCTCCTTAGCCTATGCCTGACTGATTAAGGCCATATATCACAGGTAGTGTCGGGGGGAGTCTGAACCTCCTAAGCCTGTCACAGGGAGCCAGTCCGACCAGTCTTCGCCTGCTGGAAGCGTGTCAAGCTCCCCAACAAACAAACACCCGGACTCGGCCGCACAAGCGAAAACAAACACAAGAAAGCACTGCCCCGTTCTTCGCCATGTCAAGAGGCTATGAGGCGTCTGATTGTCGAAATGGAAGAGGAGGTCCTGGACTGCCCCGCAGGACGGGGGGCCGCGGAAGCGGCCGTGGTTCAGGTCGGAGCTTCCACCGAAGGGCCAGGGGGGAGGCTTCCGGAACCTGAAGCAGCCTTCACATTTGGGGGGGGTTCGGGGCCTGTATTCATTGGACTCCGCTGTTTCGATCGGTGTTCCCCAGACACTCCATGGGACTGGAATATATGGACTCCCCAAACGCCCCAAATGTGGGCAAATATTGGATGATATTGGATGCATGGAGTGTCCTGGTTCTGCTGAAGCTTTGGGATATGATGCCCAGCTCTGCGTTCAGCCTTGAGCAGTTCAGCCTGGAGCACAGCACTCAAGGCTGAATGCAGAGCTGGGAAGAATTTGGACAAGACATCGTTTAACAAGACATCTCCTATCAAATGTTTATCTGTTTCATCGTCCATGTTTTCAACTTGCACGATTCCTGGAACTGATATTCACAGTTGCGGCAAATCCCTCTGGGTTGTACGCGCGTAAAGACCTGGAAGAGCGCGTAAAGACCTGGAAGACGCATGAATGTCATGGCAAGTGGGAAACAAATTGGCCGAACAGTCGCAGACATGTGAGAACAGGCCCACAAAACTTGGCTGGACACACCCACCAAACAGACAGGACACAAGTGGGGGATAGGGGGGGGACAAGACAGGACAAGTGAAGGCAGCCGAAGACACCAGCAGGGGATGGCCACATGTCGGTCTTTAGTCTCGTGATGAGCAGGTGGCCATCTGAAAACAAGAAGCAACAATAACAACAGCAGGCTTAGCCGGCGTATCCCTGTTGGTCTACAGCTGCAAAAAAGAACTCATCCAGGTCTATGTCTTCAAGTAAGCAGGATGTCCTCTCCAGGACGCCGGGACCCCAAAAAAACAACATCTCATTGCAATCATAAACACACATCATCGAGACCACCCACCTCTCCCACCGACCTTCTTGGAGAATTCCATCACTTCGGGGATCTGGTCCAACCCTCCCGATATCACCACTTCCGCAGCCGAGCCCCGCAGCCTCTGCGCAGCGAAAGTCGCTGGGGCGTAGCACACAGAAGTAGCCCTCGACGGCGAGGACCGGAGACGGCGCCAGGCAGGGACGGAGCACCGGAAGACGGGACGGGGAAGCTCGGTGGTCTTGGGTAGTTAGCTATTCAGCTTAGTAGGGGTATATGTAGGGGTCATGTCCCAAAAGTTCCACGAACTGGAGGGTGGTAACATAAACAAGCGTTTCAGTACTGAGTATAGCTACAAAGAAGGGGAGGGGAACTGGGTCCAGCATGATTTGGGTGGAATCATTGCTCGTGTTGTACGATTATGGGTACCAAACTATTGTGAAATGTTCTTAAGGCTCTCACCCACCCATTTTCACATATTTTCACCAGTGCCGCTTCATGTCTGAAAAGACCCGCTTGAGCTCGATTCGGGTGCCTCACTATGTTTCCTGCCATGTGAGCGGAGGTTGTGGGTGAAAGAACACATCTGTTTTTGCAGTGCACTCTTCCGAGTAAGTGTAATTTTGATCAAGTTTGATGTTTTTGACATCTTTTGATGGATTGACGAGCAAAATCAGATCCTAATTAATGAAGTTGCACGTATTCCACGTCTCATTGCAAGGAACTGGTCGGAACTTGTTTTGTCCTGCCAAGTGTGCAACTGGGAAGCGGTGTTTTCCAAATCTTTGTGCGTCTATCGTTTGATCATGTTGCACCACTAACAGCGTAACAGTATGTATCCCAGATACTCCATGTATGTAATATATGCCTACATTGACCCCCAAAACCACACCAACTGATCGGCATTCCTATGGCAGTCCCATGGAGTGTCGTGTCTGGGTATTGTATAGTTGATCCCAACCCACGTGATCGCGTCCGCGTCGCCTTCGGTCACGAAGGGAAGAGCAGACCCGGACGGCGGCAAGAAACGACGCTCGCCCCTTGTGGCATCGAAAACAAGACTAAGACCGATGTCTTCGTCCCTTCTTTCGAACAGCCTTATCTTTCTCCCACCCCCTTTTTTCCATTTGCGAAGAAAGACGAAACAGCCTATACTACCCACCCACCCGCCTTGACCCCCGCTTTTTGTGCCCATCTTTCACACGCCACGGTCCAAGAAAAACATGGGACGTCGGCAGACCTCTGGTGTGTGCCCGTCACCGAGCGCGTCACTCTTCGCCCAAAAAAAGAAAGGCGCGGCCGC